TTTAGAGTATGCTCTCCTTATGAAATTAAACAAAACTGTAAATTTTGTGACTCTAAAAGTGCTTTGCAGGCATTACATAAATTTCCATTTAAGAACAATACTAATTATCCTATTATTACAGAATGCAGGAAATTACTTCACAAATGTAGTCTTAACAGTCATTTAATTAATTTTGCGTGGATTCCTAGTCATACCAATATTCCAGGAAATGATAAAGCTGATAAGCTGGCCAATGAAGCGGTTGAGTGTGGAGATATACATCCGTACACAAATTATTGCCATGACTTAACGGCAGCCCTTCCCAAAGCTTATCTCAAATCTGCCTGGGATGAGAATTGGGAGTTCACTAGCCAATCTAAGGGGAAACATTACAAGCTCATTCAACCATCCATCCTTTGTAAACCATGGTTTGTTAAAATGAATCTTTCCAAAACAGTTACTACCATTTTAACTAGAATGCGACTTGGTCACGTGTGCACTCCAGCACACTTGGCTAAAATTCATGTACTTGATAATGATTCGTGCATTTGTGGTTCTGGCGTCGGAGACTTAAATCACATATTTTTTTACTGTTGCCTATATGATCGTTCCTCTTTTATTAGTTCTCTTTTAGCCATTAAAATTCCTTTTCCTACATCCATCACTTGCCTATTATATACCAATAACATTGATGTTTATAATATCCTAGCCGAATTTATTACCCATAATAATATAAAATTGTAAATAGTAATGTATATTGTACTTATGTAAATATTATTTTATTTTTATTATTTTGTAATAAATCACACCTAAATTGATCCTATGAAAACCATCCTTTGTTCCGTTTCCATCCGTAATTGATTCGTTTCCCTACCTTTTAACTTTAACCTAATCCCACCCTGTCTAAACGCAATGTCCGCAAAACTTATGGCAAAACTGAACGCAAAAATCAAGAACCCTGTCGTGGCTAAACGCAATCCGCGAGAGCCATAAAGAAAAAAAAAAAAGTATTGGAATTTATCGACTGAAGTCGCTGTTTGGAAGCAAGTTTGATCGTAGTATGGAAGTTTCCGTACCCTGTGACTGACTGACAACGACTGACAGTGACAGTGACAGCTGACAGCTGAAGGAAAAACTCTATGTTTTAGGGATTCATGTCCAATTTATCGACAATCGATATTACTATAAAATCCATACGCGCGCGATTCACGCTCCATTTTCAATTCAGTTGATGTACTTATCGGTACTCGGTGTAATTCGGTATCACGGTTCACGCGCTAACAAAGAAAAAACAAATTTTTCACTTTCTAGTACAGTCCGAACAGGTTTTTTTGAAACTAAAATTACTAAAAAATAGCAAATGTTCGTAATCGTTTTAATTACGTTAGAAAAAAAGTAACCTTATAAGTCAGCTTTCGCGTAAAGGCGCAGTTGCTCTACGTTTACGTTTCAGCATCGTTTGAACTAGCTGTCAAACAAAACGATACCGCGATACAGATTTGTCAAAAAGCTGATTTTCGTTCGTCATCCAATAGCATTGCAGTTTAAAATTTTTAGGGCCCAGCGTGGCAATACGTGACAGTTCGACAGTTGTAATGTCGAAAGGCCATTTTTTTGTATGAAGACTGGAGTTACATCGCGCATCGTTTCGTGAACGGATTCAAGTTTTTTTGCTTCGTGAACGGATTCAACGAATTCGAACAAAAAGTGCCACTTGTCTAGACCTACATTACACATTCAAGTTCATACATTACAGATTAGAAAGTATGGATTACACTAGACAGCTACCTTACTCTTGACTTGATAAAATGTATGAGTATCAGCGCAGTGAGCCTAAACAGATATAAATATTTGTAATTTGCTTGTGTTTGTTGATCATATCAAAACTTGCCGCGCGACCTATTTAAACGTCATATCATTTAAACGTAGAATGCAACCTGCCTGTGCGTAGACACACTTGTAGGAATTCTCTCATCTACCACATACAAACCGGGGTAGTGCATCAGTAGAATTACTGAAGTGGGCCTTAGTAGTAGGTATCTATTTTAGTCTTTTGGGTTTGACACGATACCTCATCACGATACCATACTAGGTCCATAGGGGCGAAACTTGACAGTTGTAATTTCGAAATACGTGGAGCGGTACCTACTAGATTTATTTTTGCAAAGTATGAAGCGATTATTTTACTATTTTCTTTTATATCGATAGGTCAACTAAGTACCTCACTATGTAGGTGATCATAAAATAGATAATTATTCATTCTTTTGGAGTAGGCGGCGCAGACCCTATGTATTACTTTGCTCTATGGCGCACACCGTTGATTTTTCGTCTCGTCGGTTAGACATAAAACCAATGATATTATAGATTAGCTGTAGTCTGTTTCAACTACCTATTTTAAAGTTTTTTGTAACTTTCTAAGTTTTTAATTTTATGGAATTGGGAAAGAAGTACCGAGTTTGAAGCGTTCATGAGCAGACATTGCAGTTGAATATTCAAGTTCTGAATTTGATTATTGATGAATAATAAAATAAATCCTACTAGCTCCATTGATGGTTTCATTTAATTTATTTAAACCAGGTTACCTTTAATAATATTTTTCGTTAATTTATGAAAATATCAAATTAGCCCGTAATCCTGAATCCTGATACATAAATTTATAACACTATAATCCGGGCGTTTTCAAGGCGAGAGTGAATAGGCACTTACAGGGCAGGTATGTACCATCCTAGACTGCATCTCACTTAACACCAGGTGCGATTGCGGTCAAATACCTGCCTTGGCTAGCATAAAA